ACTCATGAATTGATTCAGCAAGGCCTGCCAAGACTTTGGACTACAATCAGCCTGAAGAAAACACAAGTCATGGGCCAGGGTGTAGACTCATCTCTATTACCATCTCCACACGTCATGAGAATGGCTGATGGTCAGATTCCAAAGGATCTCCTGTATGGAGAATTAGTGCAGGGAAATTGTCCCAGAGGGAGACCACAGCTGTGATACAAGGACATCTGCAAGCGGGATCTGAAGGCCTTAGGAATGGACCTCAACAGATGGGACACCCTGACATCTGAGCGTTCAGCCTGGAGGCAGGTGTTGCATCACGGCCTCTCCCAATTTGAAGAGACCCTTGTCCAGCAGGCCGAGGCAAAGAGGAAGTCACAAATGCAGCAAAATCATGGAGCTGGACAGGGGACAGATTGGATTTGTCTTCAGTGTTGAAGGGATTGTTACTCTCGAATCGGCCTCCTCAGCCACACTAAATGCTGTTCTAAGTCCTCCATACAGAGCACATTACCATAGTCTTTCAAGACTGAAGGATGCCTAACTAACTAAATATATTGATTATCATTCATCCTTCATACAGTAGACTGTGCTTTACCATTTGTTGTTTTATGTTGACACCCTATCTGTTGTGGTGTGTAAGAATTTTGGAAGATCCGAGTGCTGTATAATTTTTGTGTGCCATAAATGTGTTTCTGAACGTCACTTTTACCTGTTGTCAAAAATCCTGACAGGAGACTGTGGGCTCTTCCTAAAGATGCATGTTTCCTCTGTCAGATGCCAAGTGTAGAAATAGCATTTGTGAAATTGGTTTGGCAGTGTGCTTGTGCATTGGCCAAATATATAAATGCCAGCTTCTATTTGGTTTTCTCTTTGCCTTGACTACTGAGAGAATGTGTTGGAGAACTGGGGATAATTATTGTATTGAAACTTCTCTTAAGTTTTTGTACTGTAAATTTAGTGTACTGTAGCCAGAACAATTTTATCCTTCCCTGTTGAAGCATTACCTCTTTTTGCAAGGATAATGCAGAATTCTGTGAAATGTCATTGAAAGCCACAATTGCAAGTTGCTGGTGGTGATGATGGTATGCACTACTTGCTTCAGTCTTGAACCAGTGCTGCAGCTTTTTAAAGTGAGGAAGCATGGTGGATTTGATTTAAATTGTAATTCAAATAATGATTTAAATTTTGAAAATCAGGTTCTTTTGATGATTTAAATAAAAATCAGTTTTTAAATTTAAATCATGATTTTAAAAAATCATTGATTTTTTTAAAAAAATCCACCCTGTCAGGAAGAAGGGAGAAAATTTAAAAGTGATGAAAATTTATTTGTGCATTCCACTATTATTTTGAAGGAGAATTATAAGATTTTAACTATTTTCATGAGGACCTGGATTTTTTGCAGTATTACTTCAGTTTGTCATATTTATGTCCAGGGCTTGAAAAATGCATTTGTCCACTCGTCAGTGACGAGTGAAAAATGCTGCTTGATGAATCATAGCTCCCTCTCTGCCTGCCTCCTTCCCCTCCACCTGTTTATCTGTTTCTAATCCTGCAATCCTCCCTTTCCCCTCCCATTGCAAAAGGAAAACTGCCCTCTTCTCACGAGAAGAGAGTTCAATCGGTACATAGAGGTATAGCTCTTCAGGAGAATGTAGAGTAGTCCCATGCTGGAGAATATGGGAGATTTCCTGCTCCCGATTTCAACTGAACAAGGACACATCCTGGGGTGGGAGGGAACCGTGGCTCCTTAAGAGGCCGGGCACTTTGGTTTTCAGTTTTATTTTTGCTGGAGACATCCAGAAGAAAGGCATTCAAAATACAAGCTTCATGACCCCACAGGCACGCAGGTTATAAAACAACCCAAGTCTGAGGGTATAAATCAGTGATTCCCAATCCCAATAATTTGCAAGGCTATAGTCCGGTCATGCTGACTGGTGAAATTTTTGACTGACTGTGAGACATTCTAAACATTTTCAAGCCCTGTTTATGTCAGTTGATTCTAAATTCAGTTTGGGTTCTGGAAGATGCTTAGAATTGTAGCAGAAGGGGCTGTTTTTTGTATTGACCCATTTTTAATCTGTTATCTTATTATCTATCTTGAATGCCAATATTGGTAGGAAGATAGTTAATAAGTTATGTATGTAAGCCGCCCCGAGTTGACCTTGTCTAGGGGGGCCGGGGTAAAAATTCAATAAAAGTTTTTAAAAAAGTAAAGTAAAAAAGTAAATCCTCTTATATTTTGAGTAAATTTTGACACACAAACACAAAATGTGAATAACAAGTGGCACAACACTTTATTTTAGCTTGTATTTCTATTTTGTACTATGCTATAACAGCTTTCAAAGTTAGGGAATCATTTTCAGTGGCAGTTTTTTACTGAAGCATGAAAATAATTGTTTGTTTGTTTATATGCCACCCACACTACCCAAAGGTCTCTGGGCGGTTTACGTGCACAACTATCTGCTCTAGAACTCGAAGGACTGTGGGACATGTTTCAGAGCCTTGATGTTTCCTATTATAAAGGAAAGCTTAGAGTAGTGAATCAGCTGACTAAGTCAAACTTTTAGTTACACCTTCATACTAAAGAACCCCTTATAAACTAGTGTGTTTACATTTAATGATCAGACATTAGAGTTTACACCTTGCATTTCAGGAGGGCAGTTGTATCCAACAGTCTTCTTTAGGTAGGTTTGGTGACTCCCTGTTTGCTGTGGATTAGTCTTATTTTTTGCTTTATTCCTGCACCTTGTGAAGTGTCCTAATTCATTCAAACTTGGCTTGACATGGTAATGTATCTTCAGGTTTCTTGTGCCTATGTTCTGCAATCTCAGTGTGCAACTTGTGGCCTCAGCCCCTCACACTGCAAGTTTTTTCTGTTTGCTTATAATTTCTTTATGTCCTCTGAGTGTACCAGGCTCCACATGTCTCAAAACTTTTTAAAGGAGCAAATATTAATTTTGTAATTTATCAAGGTAAATGCAGATTACATTCTCCACAATTTTTGTACTTACAGCTTCAGAAGTTAAAATTTTTGCATAACCATTGTATATATATTTTAAATTTAAAATGTAAGTTAATATTTTTGTCTGTGCCCTTAATCTGTACTCCTTAAGGAATGTATTTCTCAAGTTGCTGCTCAGTCTGAAAATTGGCACTCCACTATCCACCCCTGTTTTAGAGGAAGTGCTGATGACCTAAGCACCTGTTCTTCTAGTGCTCCAGATGAGCTATGTTTTTTTATCCCCAGAAAAGCACCATGACAGTTAGACTGCAGTACTTGAAAGATGTCTGCCAGTCTCATTTTCTTTCTGATCTTCATGAAGATTGCCAGTTGTAGTTGTGCAGCGTAAAAAAAAATTTCAGGCAAACTGAGATTCTGTGCTTCAGAAGTAATAAAAAGCAGATGGTGATGCTTTTCATGTTGTTTGTCACCTCGTTTCCCTGTGGTCAATTCTAGAAGGACTGGTTGTTTTTTCTTTTCTTTTGTAGAAGTAAAAAAAATGGTGATACTTGTAGCAGAAAATGTAATTTAAGATTTTGAAGTCTGGGTGGCATGCTAGTAAGAAGGTCAAAGTTGAACTCTTTGCTGTTGTTTTCTATTCAAGTATTTGAGAAATAGCCCCATATTTTATCAGAGCACGTTTTCTAGGCATATTTTATTCTTTCTCTTGTTTTGTAATATACAAAAGAGATTTCAAATATTAGATGAATAACTCAAAATGTAATGTTGTTCTGCATTGCATGTAAAATTTTAAAATTAATCTACAACATTTGCGAGAGCTGAGAAAAGTCTTCATGGTCTTCTACTGAGATCTGTTTCTCAGTTTCTCAGAATTTGCAAAAATAGCAAAGTAGTAGGGATAATAATAGCACTGCAATATTCTGTGAAATTTTTCCCCCTTGAGAAACTTTCCCCCTTTTCCCACTTCTATGGGTTTCTGAAAGGAAGACTTGCCATTTGTTAGTGAAGCAGCTATTTCACTATGGAACTATTTAAACCCCCACTCTGCTTTCCCATCTCTTTCCTTTGCCATTTCTACATTTCCGTCTTCCCCTTTTCTTTCTTGTTATCTGATTCCCTGCCTTTGTGTCATCCTTTTAAAAAAAACTTAACCAAATAAAGACAAATCTGTGGCTCCATAAGGTGAAGGCTAGTGGGCCAGAGTTACAAGAATTCAGTTTATTAGTCTTTATTAAAACATATTACTTCCTCTACAAAGATCTTACAGCGAAAACAAGTTTTATATTCAATCTTCAGGTAACAGCCTGAATTTTTAGGCAGTTATTCCTTATTTTATATCAGGTAGCAGGTGTATTTCCTTACCAATACTTGAAAATCAGGTCCACGGTTTAGATTATTTCTCTAAGCGTAATGGGTTGGGCAGGGTGGAGCACCTCTCAATCCATTTTCAGTTACTTGAACAATTATTTTGCTTTAAGCTAACATGCTGGCACACCCTTGTATGGAAATTCCGAGAACTTAAGATTTCTGTTTGTTTTTCAAACAATCTATGGTTCTTAAACTTGAGTATACTTTTGTAACTTATAAATGTATTCCAATTCAGAATTATTAAAATTATATTTATTTTATAGGTATGAATATAAAAGATTAATTGTAACATTTATGCTGGCATATAATTATACATGTTACGTGCCATTTGGGATTTCTTACAAGAAAGTCTCTGTAGATGTATGACCAACTTCTTCAGCATTGGTGAATACTTACTGTATAAATGGTAAAAATAGAGTTGACCTTTACCATTTTAAAGACATCATTTTTTATTTTCACTGCTCTTTCCAAGAGAGCAGCTGAACATAGCCTTGAATTAAATTCTCAAGAGCCACCTTAATTGCATACAAATTGTTGGCTAAAGTGAAGTACATTTGAACGGAGTCAAGTGTATGGAAAGAATACCAAACCCGCTTCCCTGACAAATTGGTAGTACTTCTTGGCTCAAAATTGGTAGTGAAAATAATTTGTTTTTTTCCTCTCCACCCCTCTCCTTCAGGGTGATATATTTCTTACGTGCTCTAATAATCTGACATAACAAGAAGAAAGAAGAAACTTTACATTGAATGACGTGTCCATTGCTTCAGTAGTCTTTTTCTTCAAGAGTGGATCTTTGAATGAGGATGACAATGGAAGAGATGAAGAATGAAGCAGAGACCACTTCTATGGTTTCCATGCCTCTTTATGCTGTTATGTATCCTGTATTTAATGAGGTAATAAGAGTTAATTGTTAATTAATGTTTTGTATATTACAGTGTTTGGAAACAGAAGTTTTTTTTCCAGTATCAAATAAGGCTCTAACATAGTGGCCAGAATCCTGTTGAAGGTTTACGGTGGTGTAAATTTAAATTGCATGACATCCATTTGCCACTAAAAACAAGTTGCTATTTGCATTTCTATATACATGTCACATGATATGACTTGCACATGCCCAGGAATGTGAACAGCAACTTGTTAATTAGCAACAAGGAGCTATGGTGACTTACACAATTATACTTACACTGGTATAAATTTCTAAAATGCATAATCTTTTTGAACCTGAATGCCCAAACTGAAAAAAAAAACCAGCAGGTGGCAGGCCACAGCAGCAGCGGACATGGCAGTGGAAGGGGGAATCCCAGGCATGGAGGTGCCTCCAAACCCCACTCTAGTTCCGCTTCCAGTCATGCCCAACCCCTGCCAGCGCCAGCTGCTCCAGATCCTGACCCACCACCTGTTTAGGCACTAGCACTGTGACTGCCTCCTCAGGTTTGGCTGCTGGGGGTAGCGATTTGGCGACTTATGGCTCGCGTACCCGCAGAGAGGGCTCTGCATGCCAGTTGTGGCACGTGTGCCATAGGTTCGCCATTGCGGCACTAGGGCCTGAAATATTAAGGTTTTAATTAATGTGTCAGGCTTAGACAGCTATGGAGTCCTACAGTATTTAACATTGTCATTAGTCATTACTCTAAACCTTTTGCAGAAGCTTGCAGACGCTGTAAATGACCTGTGTTAAACATTATAGGACCCCTATTTTTCTGATATGACAAAGTATATCTTGGGTTTTTTTGAATATAGTTGTGATAGGTTTTCTTTGTTAAGCTTCCCAGCAAATGATATATGAACATTCATTCATATGGTTGAAAGTTTCTTTTGAAGTATAACCATTTCAGTTTGTTTTGAGTATAAAACAGAACACTGTGTTCCAATAATCAGTCTTCTCTACCCTCATATGTATATTTTCAGTGCTTCATTTTTGTGCTTTCAGTGTAGATTGTTGTACTGTATCACTTCATTAAGCTTGGCTATATGTTTGCCTCAGCTGTTATGGAAATGATTTCTATTAGCATTTTATCTGTATAATTCTATCACATTGTGATGACCAGTAACATTCAAGCCCTGAGTGAATTCACAGAACCATTTTACTACATGGATATTGAAATGGGAAATGCTAAATTGCTGCTGATTTTCTGCTTGCCTGGACATTGTGTGTATTGGCCCTTAATTGGTATCTGAGAGACAAAATCCCAGTGCATTTGCAAGTGAAAAGCAGTTTATCTGATTTGGCACAGAACCTTGTAAAAGAAGTTTGAACAGGTGAAGACTGATCATTTATTTGTACCTTCTAAAAAAATTAATGTAACTATTTATTTTTAACTCCTTGCAGCTAGAACGAGTAAATCTGTCTGCAGCTCAGACATTGAGAGCAGCTTTTATTAAGGTAAGAAAAAATGTTCAAAATTTACTGTATAGAGAATGCTAACAGGAGTAGCAAATGAAATTCCTGTCAATCTGCTCTATAATTAGCAAGTATCTTGTTGAGGAGGTCAAGAGGCTGTGTGTCAAAGGGCTGTATGTACACTGATAGAAGGCCTAATCTCATGACATCAATAAGTGGTGGGAATTACCCCTGCTGATCCAATCAGAGAAGAAAGAATTAAAGTAGATGACTTGATATTTTCATAAAAATTTATGAACCGCTGAGATAACTTGTTGATGGACATTTGTGTGTCACTTCTTTGGGGATAGGAATCACAGATGATACCCTAGTGTCATTCATCATGTTGAAGAAGACTGGGAGTCAATAGTCAAATAACTTACAGACCTATATTACAAACTATTGATACAGTGTCTCCACCACTCAGTTCTTTTCACTAAATTGTCTACAGCAAAATGAGCATTAATATGTATAGACTTTTCCAGGGATGGAAAAGGACTACCTTCACCACATCTCATACCCATATGGTCCAAACAACAGTCAAGGCTTGCAGATCCCTAGCCTTCTCTAATGTCCTTTGCCAGCTGGCGTAGGCATTAGAACAGCTGCAGCTAATGCAAATGACATTGCTTGGTCGGGGTCAAGTACTCCTCATTTCACAAGCAACTCTTGTTTATTCTCAGCCTTGGGCTCCGCAGGGTCCTGTGTAGTGGTCCTCTTCAGTAGAGAAGGAAGGAACCCAAAGGAGGACTACCTCAGGATGCTGCAAAGCTAGCATACGCTAGCAGGGTCTGACTTTTCCCACTCCGCTTTGGGGGCACCTGCCCAATCTTCCACCTTGCTCTATTCCTTCTCTTGGTGGGAGATTTATCATGGTGGGATTTTCCCATCTTTCTGATTTTCCCATCTCTCTGGGTTTCTTCCATCTCCTGGTTCCAGGGGAGTGTTCACTCTGGCATAATGCCCCAGAGAAGGTATCCTGCCTGTGTCCCCCAGATATCCTTGGGAGAGACCTGTTGAGTGCTATTGGGATGTGTAAGTAGATACTTCCTGAATGCCCAAGCTCACCTGCACAGAGAAAATAGAAAATCTGTCATTTGGGCACAATAGGTGTATTGTATAAGCATCCTAGGAAATGACTAAGGCATAAATAACTGCTCTATTCCAAATGTGATGGCCCTATGGGCCCCTTCCAGCTCCATTATTCTGTGATTCTGTAATAAAGAGTATGTACTTCTGTACCCTCTACTCTCCAACCTTGACATGCCACTGTTCCTTTTCTGCACCTAGTGCTATTGGTATTTGCTTCCTCTTTTGTATCTGCTGTGCCAGTTTTTTTTCCACCAAGAAAAAGCACAAAGGTTATTACTACCTCCCTCTTCCACCTCTTTAAAATAAAGAGGCCTCATTTTGAGGTGCAACTCTTGGTATCTTTTTCCTGTGCTCAAGTGTATTAAAAGCATGGTGAAAAGAACAGTGAGTTTTGCTGGATGCACCAGAACAGAAAATTGGGAAGATATTCTTAGGCTGTCAGTTGAATTTTTCTTACAAAGATGAGTAGTTTCTAAGGCAGATTGTTAAGGCTTTAATGCAAGAATGCCTGCACAAAAGTACGTTATCATTGTCCTATAAATATTAGTGGTTAGCTTTGTAATGTGAAATTTTAAGACCTAGAGCTCTTGCTGTGCGCGCGCACACACGCACATACACACACACACACACACAGAGAGAGAGAGAGAGAGAGAGACAGTTTCCTGTTCTCAAACTGTAAACTTAATGTCTTGGCTATATATTTGATGTAATTATACTTGCAAATCAGCTGCATATTTTGTTAAATAATAAAGGTAGGTTTTATTTAAAGAAGAAGCCAAAGGTTAAATTTTTATCCCTGTACTGAAAAGTCACTGCCAAGTCACCCTACCTTAATATCTAAAGGCATTTTAATTTGGAGAGTATTGTATTCTCTGAATTTTTCCTTCTATCACAAAGATTGTGAATTACTGAACCATACCTATACGTGTTTGGACAAACTCAGCCAGTTTCTTTTCCCCACCCCCCCAAGCACATAGTGAATATTTCAGTGGTTATGAAAGATTTTGCTCTCCAGGACCAGCAATTCTGCTCTTTTGGATATTTGGGTTTTTTTTAAAAAATCTCTAGTCACTTATGGTGACATAGTTTCAAACAAGAATACAATTTACAAAGCATTAAAGGGTTGTGCAGATATAATTGCATCTACGTCATGGGGTCAACACTGAGATAGGTTGGATCTTGTGTATGTGGGCAGTTTCTGCTGTTGCTCTGTCTGCTAACTTTTTGTAATTCCTTTTGTATTTTTTTTTCTGCAATAGCCACTTCAACATCTATAGCAGGGAGGCTGAAGAGTTCTGAAACTGGATTCTTTGCTTCTGTTCATTACTTTGTTTAGAGACTGTCTTGTTTGTCCTCTGTAGAATGCAGAGGGGCACTGTTGGCAGAATATGGCATAAATCACATTAGATGATGAACCAGTGAATTCTTGATGTCGTAGCTGATATTGTTGGAACCTTTGATCATGCTGCCAGTGTAGATATGGGGCACAACTGGCATCTATGTTTGTTGGCAGACTTTTGTTCCTGTCTTCATGTCTTTGTGTTGCTTCTTGAATGTTTGTAGGCAAGCACAGATTGTTGTCTGGAATGGGCTATAGGTCCTTGATGATATGTCCCAGATGGTAAAGGTGACTATAAATGGTGTTTTGTTGTTATCTTGCACTAGTCTGGCTTGAGGGTTATTGTACGTTAAGAAGTGCTTGCTCTTCTAACTCCATGAGTTTTAAGTCTCTGCCTTGTGCTTCTGAATAAATCTTGCTGTATTGAACCCTGCTTTAAAAGGATCTCAGCATGCAAGAAAGTGAGGTTTAAACTTCACACTCATGTTGTGATTAAGGGGGAAAGTGTGACTGTGTGTCTGTATGAAGAAAGGATACACAGGTTTGTCAGGTTATGGCCATGCATTAGGAAAGACACTGCATATGTGTATTTGCATTTTTGTGCCTGTTTGCAGCTTCTTGATCATTATAGCATGAGTTCCTCAAAGATTCATCCCCATCCCTGTTGTAAAAGAAGATTTAGAAATAAACTGTATGGAATCTGAAGAATCAAGTTAGCATAAGTCCATTGGCATAAATTTCACTTCATGCTGCTCATTAATGGATCAGCATTTTAGTTTCTTGTAACATGCTAAATTATAAGAGTGTTGTATTACACCAAATATAAATGCTGATATGAGAAAACTTTTCATGATTTCTAATGGAACGAAATTAAACTGGGTACAGATATTTTCAACATGTAATTCTCTGTTAAAATGAAATGAACAGAGACCCGTGAAATCTTTGTCTATTGTCTGCATTGTCATTACAGTGGTGGCAACCTATTATTGCATCTTTTTTAAAAAAACTTGGAAAAATCAGTATTGTAAAAAACACTGAAGTATATCTAAGGCGTAAGAAAATGATATAGGAAAACTGAGGTCTTTGCAACCCCTTTTCACACCATATGGACCTTTTACTTTCATGTTGCTGCTAAAAGATGTTAGGGGAAAAGGCAGTTCTGATGTCTTCTCCAGATAACAGATAATTTAAAGCTCTAGAGATTGTTGGACTTCATTAATTCCCCAGGCACTGACATTGTAAGGTGTGATATGCAGACATGTAAATCAGTCCCTTTAATTTCAATTGAAAGGAGCACCGGGGGGGGGCTGTTTATGATGCATAGAAATGAATGCTGCACAGAAATGAATGGAATTGCTTATTGAGCAAAATTATAGATGAAAAATATTGATGTCACACAAGAAATATGGGCCTTTCTTTGGAGGACAGAAAGGCAATGAGAGATAGAATGCTTATTATGAAACATTTCTGCTTGGGTGGCTTTTGAAAATACAATCTTGAATTCACATTCTGTAGCTGGTTTTGGTTGTATTTTTTTTTTTTTTGTTTAAGATTTTTGCCTGCTTGCTAAATAAATAAAATGCTGTTTGAAATGTAGGCTGAAAAGGAAAATCCAGGTCTCACACAAGACATCATCATAAAAATTTTGGAGAAAAAGAGTGTTGAAGTTAATTTTACTGAATCTCTACTCCGCATGGCAGCTGATGATGTAGAAGGTATGTCCAACTAATGTATATGCCTATGCTTCCTGATCCTTTATCAGACTTCCCATTATTAAATTAGACAGAAGTATTTCTGATGTTTTGTTTCTTTGATAACATTAAGTTTCCTGATGATAGATAAATCCCTTATTATTAATGTAATGCTGTAAATACAGGACTTGTAAGTTGTGAATGCTTTGTAGTTTGTCATTTTTTCTCCTTGTAACCATTTTGGCTAATGGGAGGTACAGAGATATGTGTCTGTTTTCCTACTTGTTTGAGTCTAAGAAAAAGAATAAAAAATAAGTATTATTCTTATTTTAAGTCGAGGAAAGTGTTTGTGCAACACCATTCCATGAATTGGAGCAATATATCTACCTGTAGAAGTAGACTTTTCTGCACCCCCTCCTTCCAGCCAGCCCCCTGCCCAGTGTTCACTTTCAGGGCAGAACCACAGCTGAATAGAGTGTGGATGGAGATAATAGAATGTGAGGAATGGGCCCCATTTGCTCTGCTAATTCCTGCAGCATATTGGAGAAGCCTGTACAGGAAGATGCAAGTGGGAAGATTTCTCCCTTCTGCAGATAGATACCTGGATTCTGCCAAACGAGTTCATGTGCAGTTTTACATTCACATCCATGATATCCATTAAGCCTCTTTTGTTTTTGTAGTACATCTTATAGATTTCAGATCCATGTAATTCTTTTCCTGTGAGACACAGAGATGGGTACCCTGATAGTGTTTGTCTGCTTCTTTGGGGGGTTTTTTAATTAAAGTGTTTGTCCAGCCTTTCAAGTGTTTTTTAAACTTACCTGAAACAAATAACTGATATTTTTTCCTTAACTGATAATTTTTTTCTTCAGAGTATATGATTGACAGGCAAGAGCCAGAATTCCAGGATTTAAATGAAAAGGCAAGAGCACTTAAACAGATTCTCAGCAAGATTCCAGATGAAATAAATGACAGAGTGAGGTTTCTTCAGACAATCAAGTAAGTGCTTATTTCTGATTGCACATCAGGCAGCTGTCCTTGTCCATTCATAATGTCTTTGAATCTTTGTCTAAGCTTATTATGTGGTGTACCTTATACTTAGAGAAATGCACTGGCAAACATCCCCCCCCCCAGTAATTTTAACTGAAGAGCTGCTTGCAACATCTTTTTATGCCAAAAATTGGATGGGGCCACCAGATGTGACAAATTGCTCCCCAGAGAAACTTCTGGGTTTGTTGTTGTTGCTTTGGTTTGTTTTTCTCAAACAAATACGATTGATCGTGAGTATCTGGTTTGTTTGGATTGTGGCAGATCATACATTTCCACAATTAAAAATAGTAGAACACCAACATCACATGAAATGTCTAAAGTGGTCATTGTGACACATGCCTCAGTTACATTGCATTTGGATTAAATAAAATAAAATAAATAAATAAAACCCAGAAATACATGTTCTTAAGGTGTATTACCAGGACTGGCCACTAGATGGAACCAGTGATTATGGTGTCTTAATGGAAATGCACTAATGGCCTGATGTCTCCAAGGGAAACAGCTTCCAATGAAATGGAGAGGCTGTATTTGCAGGGGAAGAGCAGGGGAGAAAAGGCAGTTGCTGGTATCAGGAAAGCCTCTTTTGCGAACAGGAGGGCAGGAAAACCAGTCCTTTGGCAAGACTAGGCCAGGGCGCTCTCTCTCTTAAGCATGCATGAATACCAAATAAAGTGAAAGTTAAGTGCTTTGTTTATCTGCTACTTTCACCATCCATGTGGGGGGAGGCTTTGAACTGTCCATATCATGGTCCTACTGTATAGTATTCTGGCTAGCTCTGTCAAAAGCACTGAAACATTTTGTTGTAGGTTTTCATTTATTAAATTATAAACCCCACTTTTTTATTCCTTTGAATTGACTGTGGTCGTTAAGGTGGTTAGATACTGTGGGAGCCACTCCTAAAATTGATCCACTTCAGTTTTCCAGTAATACTCACTTGTTTTGTATGACTGAAAACTACAATATTTTTGGTTACTCCAAAAACCCTTGAATAGTCCATGTAAATTCTTCTGGAACAATGTTACCAGTTGAAGTTGTAGTTTTGGGGAGAATTTCTTGGTTTAGAAGGTAGTTGTGGAAATCTGGAGAACTGTACACAGAATATAACAACAGTAATTATCTCTTAGTCCAACACAACACTGTTTTAAGTCTTGATATATTGTGACCTAAATCCTTCCAAGTTAAAACTTGATAAAATTGTATCCATTAATCCTGAGGAGGGACTACTGACATTCAATTGTTTTGAAGAGTGCTTACTGTGGCAGTTTTCTTCCATGCAGTCTTAACTTTGTTTAAATGTCACAGGCAGAACTAGATAGCAACTTCACTTAATAAGACTGGTACATCCAGAATTGTTAAAGCAAATTATGGGTCACTTTTTTTATCTAAATAAAATACCAAGAGTGAAGTCTCTTTCATTTTGTATGTACTGTATATTCAAAAGGGAGAATTTCATTCTGAAGGTAAGCCAGGACACTTTCTGCTTAATGGTGTTGTGGTATAGATTTCTGTATCAAACAGATGCTCGCTTTCCACATAGGAAGACTGCATTAAACCTAATTTGGGCTTTGAAGGGCCATATAATCTAATTAGTTCTCGGTGTTCGGTCTTGCTGTGCCGTATCTAAAACTCACTTTGTCAGACAGCAAATCCTTTAGAAATAGATGTCAGGTGTAATTTTAAGAGTGATTAAAATTCTGTATTGAGTGAGTCTAATTTTAAAAGTTGTCACAATTATCTTTCCGTTACCAAACAGGGACATTGCCAGTGCAATAAAAGAACTTCTCGACACAGTAAATAATGTCTTCAAAAAATATCAATACCAGAATCGGAGGGTATGTAAATTAAACTTGTTCTTTGTAGCTGTGTTGTCCTGTCAGAAATATAAATGTGTTAACAATGAATATTAAAGAGTCTGTGGTGTTTGTTTTTAGATGGTGGGGATTATAATTCATTCCTACCCATTGCTGGCAGTCAAGATAAATTTGTAAATGAAGAGACAACAGGAAAACTAAGGCAATATTTTCCTGCTACTTGATTTTTTGTGTGTATAGATTTTAAATCTACAGTGGCTTGGTGTTGTTTATGAAATATTTTATATTAATTTCTCTGCTGCAAATAAACATAGAAGTATTAGAAATTATCCCATTTCTTAAAAAAACAATGAATTTTGCTATCACCATCATTTTCACCTGTTGTCTTTCATGTATCATATTTATCTTATGTTTTATGGCTAATGTAGGATACCTTGTAAAGAGTTTGACTTTGAATGACTTTTTACATTTACACACTTCAGGCACTGGAGCACCAAAAGAAAGAATTTGTAAAATATTCCAAAAGTTTCAGTGACACTTTGAAAACCTATTTTAAAGATGGAAAGTAAGTATGCTTTTCTTAAAGTTGAATTAGTACAATGTCAAGTCTTTCCATATTTTAATTTCTTCCAAAGTATTTGAAATAAATGTTTTATAACACAAAGGAGCATGCTTTGAATAGACTTGTATCTTAAGCACTCCTTATGCGTCAGTCAAATTTATCAAAATGTGAATAATGTTTTGGCCTGGTTTTGATTGGGTTCTTCTCCTGACAAGCAAAGCATTGCTTTTACTATATTCGCAAAGGCTTTCACGGCCGGGATCTAATGGTTGTTGTGGGTTTTTCAGGCTCTTTGGCTGTGATCTGAAGGTGGTTCTTCCCAACGTTTCGCTAGTCTCTGTGGCCAGCATCTTCAGAGGACAGCACTCTGTCAGCCACAGAGACTGGCGAAACGTTAGGAAGAACAACCTTCAGATCACAGCCAAAGAGCCCAAAAAATCCACAACAACCATTGCTTTTACTTTTGCTTTTAATACTAGTACTGTCTTTCAGACCAGAAACAAAACTAGTATTTTCAAAATGAGGGACCAACTCAAGGTTGCAGCGTCAAGCTACTCCAATCTTCCTACTTCCAGCACATATTTTAAAATATATGCATGAATCCAGCTTTTAATACTGGTGTGACAGCTATTCAGTAGAGCAGAGGTCCCCAACCCCCTGGTGACGTGGCCTGAGCTGTACCGGGCCACTGAGACAGTCCACCCGCCCCACCACCCAGGCCTGAGCTGTACCGGGCCACTGAGACAGACCACCCGCCCCACCACCCGCACGCACTCGCCCCTGCACAGCCCGTTTGTGCCTGCGTACGTGTTCCAGCACACTCATGCGAGCGCTGCGCCCAGACAAGCGTCACACCGCGGTTTGCACATGTGCACAAATGCACCACCGCCGTTTGCACATGTTCACGAGCATGCATGTGTGCACAAACAGCGGCGCGGTGCTCACACGGGACGCTCGTGCAAGAGAGAGAACGCTTGTTTGTGCATGTGCATGAGTGCGGGCAGTGCCCTGCCTTCCACAGCCGGTCCGCGGACCGAGAAAGGTTGGGGACTGCTGCAGTAGAGTGGATAGTGGATGTTTTGGCTACAAGCCATGAGAGCTAAGTAACACACACACACATACACAGAAGCAATATATTCTTGAAGACCAGGTGCTTCAGTAAGAAGCTGCTTTGGGTCTCGTTATTGGGAGAGAGAGAAAGACCATCACTGCCTTTAGTCATAATGCCTCAATTAGGAATAAGGGAACATGTGGTGCATCTCATGTTACTGTACAGCGCCTTCCATTAGTCTTAGGTAGCATAAGCTTGGCAAAGGGTAAAAGGAGTTACAATTCAACAAGATCTGGAGAGCCATAGATCCTTCACCCCTACTCTGGGTTAAGATGCAGTATGCCTGAATTGTAGTTACTCAGAAGGAACAACGAGAGAGGACTGCACCTCTCTATTCCTCTTTTGGAGTAGAGACAAATTGGCCACTGTAGGAAATTTGATTGTGGCCTCAGTGGAGTTTTCACCTGGTTCTTGTATTGTACTTTTCCCCTGGGTGCAGCTGATTCTAATTCCTTGATTACTTAGTTCCTGCACTGCCTCAGTGAGATAAAATTGCTTCGAGGAATGTACAGCAACAACTAGATGCAGGTCTTTGAGTGGGCAAGTGGAGAAGGCCCTTAATGAAGCTGTTGAAAAGCAATTGCTTAGTGAGGGAGGGGAAAAAAACTGTTAGTCGACCTGGTTCATGGTTCTTGGCACTAACTAAGCAGTGCTGCTACTCAAACCCCTTGAGTCTTCTTCACTTTACAGTGTTCAATTTACTGAAAGTTTATCGTAGAACATTCTTTGCTGTGTTAAACTTTACTGCCTAGGAATTCATCAGTCAGTAGAAGCGAAACCAACACATTTAACAGACATAACACCCACACTTGACCTTGGAGTTGATTATCTATTGATGCGAGTCTACCCTTATTAAACATAAAAATGGACTAGCATAAAGTTGGAAGTTCATATAGGCCACTTAAGCTTATTGCTTGGGCCTTGTCAGCAGCCTTCACTGATTCATGCCATATAGGATTCCTGTTCAAAGGAAAAAGTCAGAATATTGAAATCCTTGATGTTTTGTGCCTACCATCTATGCAGCTTGGAAAAACGACATAATAACTGTAAACATTTCTAGGGAATGAGTTGTAGCTATGTTAGTTTGTGGATGCAAAACCAAAAAATAACCTTGTGGCATATTAAGGTCTGTGGTGTTTTATGTGGCATAAATTTTGTAAGCTTTTAACCTACTGCAGCTGAATTCCATGAAACTTTAGGGCAAATAAAACAACTTACTCCTGAAGATACTACAAGACTCTTTGCTGTGTTTGCATAGCTGTGTTTATTGCCACGGAGCATTTCACAAGGGGATGCTGTTGAATAGGATGCTGCTTCCATATTATTTGATCAGACTTGGCTCACAACACTTCCAGGCCCCACTGAAGGTGCTGATTTTGACCATTATAGTCACAGTCTTGAACACACATCCCTGAGAGAGTACCTTTTTATTTGTTTGTAGGCCCATAATATTTTAGTGATCGTGCCCTGGCTGCAAGAGTTTATAACTGTGAGGGTCCCTTCCAACTCGATTTTTCTGTTTCCATGACATGTGCATTATTGAAGTTCTTGGTACTAGTACATTTCTTCTTGAATTCAATACAATCTATTGTGAATATTGTCCATTAAGAGATGGCTGCAACTGTTTGTATAGTTATAACTTGGAAGGCTGCAATCCTGTACACACCTTTCCAGGAGTTAATCCATTTAACTTGTTTGGATTTCCTTTGAATAGATATACAGTGGTGCCTCGCACAATGATTGCTCCATACAACGATGAATTCACACAGCGAGGGTTTTTTTTTTGAGGAATTTCCCCCATCGTTTAACGATGTTCTCTATGGGGGAATTTCACTTAACGATGTCCCTTTTTGCTCATTTAAAAGTGTCTTAAAATGTTTGAAACCTGTTTTAAATGCTTGGATTCCATAGTGCACCTTGTGAAACATGTGCAAACTTAATTTGGTTTTGTTCTGAGTCTTCATCAATTTTTGGTGATTTTTTTATTGTCCCCATTTAAATCAATTGAATGGACAGTTCAATGCATTTAAATAGGGAAAACAAAAAATCACCAAAAATTAATGAAGACTCAGAACAACACCAAATTAAGTTTGCATAGGGTTCAGGATGTGGGCTAACGATTGCAAGCGTTTAAAACATGTTCCAAGCATTGTAAGACACTTAAAAATGAGCGAAAACGGACATCGGAAAGGACTTCAAAAGCACTGAAACCGGCTTCAGTGCTTTTGAAGCTCTTCTGTTTTTGCTCATTTTTAAGGGTCTTACAATGTTTGGAACATGTTTTAAACGCTTGCAATAACATATATTCTAACAATACAAGTTCAATGCATTCCAATGAGAGAAAATTCAAAAAATCACCAAAAATTAAGGACGCCTCAGAACAACACCAAATTAAGTTTGCATAGGTTTCAGGAGCTGGGCTAACGATTGCATGCATTTAAAACCTGTTCCAAACATTGTAAGGCACTTTTAAATGAGCGAAAATGGACATCGGAAAGGGCTCTTTGATCTCCGTTTTCCTGCTTTTGAAGCTCTTTCCGATGTCCGTTTTCGCTCATTAAAAAGTGCCTTACAATGATTGGAACAGGTTTTAAATGCCTGCAATCGTTAGCCCACCTCCTGAACCCTATGCAAACTTAATTTGGTGTTGTTCTGAGGCGTCCTTAATTTTTGGTGATTTTTTGAATTTTCTCTCATTGGAATGCATTGAACTTGTATTGTTAGAATATATGTTATCTGATGATGACTTCCTGATCTCTGTGTACAATTGAAACTTTTTTTCTTTCTAATAACAGGGCAATAAACGTGTTCGTAAGTGCCAACCGACTAATTCATCAAACCAACTTGATACTGCAGACCTTCAAAACTGTGGCCTGAAAGAAATAATAAACTGTATATGTTGAGAGCTGTACTTTTCAATGGTGGATAGGATACCTTTATATGTAAACTTTAAAGTTTTGACTGTATAAATTATCAGTCCCAGCTGAAGGGACCTAATGCAGGATTTTGAATGGGATTTATTGCCATCTTACACCATATTTTTGTAAAAACATTGTAGCTTAATCATAATCTCACAATGAAGATTTTGCATCACTTTTTTGCTATTATCATTCTTTTCAGAATTATAAGCCAAAAGAATTTACGCCTTAATGTGTCATTATGTAACATTCCTTATAAGAATTGTAAATATTTGGTGTTCTGTTTCTGACATTTTAACTTGAAAGCAGAAAACTGCAAGATTATGTATTTAACAATATTGGTGGCAAATATTCAATAAATAGTTTACATCTGTTAGATTATCTGTGTAGTCTGTTCCCTTGATATCTTTTAGATTTTAATGGAACGGAGAAAGGTATATAATTCTTCCACAACCATAAGTAGTTTAAATTCTGCCCCTGAGATGATAACACCGCTAAAAACAGCATATTGAAAATTTCTTCATACAAAAAAAATGCTACCTAAAGTGAAATTATTTTAATGTAGTTTTATAGTGGTCTTGCATATGATTCAGGGCTATTTTAGATGGTGCTGAATATGAGTCTCCAAGACTCCTGCCAATACGTTTGTTACCCACTATTGGGTGGAAAGTAGATTTACTTTGTCTTGGGGAAGTTTAACAGTGACCTGTTTAGAGAAAAGCAAGATTACATTTAGAATGTAAGAAAAGCTACCTAGTAAGACCCTGCCCCAAAGGTATACAATCAGGATTTTGGCAACTGAGAAATGATCAGTATGACCAAAGTTTATTTCAAATTAGAATACTATTTAATGTATTCTTGAAGGCTTTTACGGCCGGGATCTGATGGTTGTTGTGGGTTTTTCAGGTTCTTTGGCCGTGTTCTGAAGGTTGTTCTTCCTGACGTTTCGCCAGTCTCTGTGCCCGGCATCTTCAGAGGACTGGAGTAGGAACTGTGTCTTCCTACTCCAGTCCTCTGAAGATGCTGGGCACAGAGACTGGTGAAACATCAGGAAGAACAACCTTCAGAACACAGCCAAAGAACCCAAAAAAACCACAACAACCATTAGAATACTATTTGCTATGGGCTCATTTGGAAAGATATTTTGATGGCTTGCTATCCTTTTACTATTTAATTTTGGCAACATTCTGGAACAGACTAACAGTTACTTTATAAATTTCTACCGCAGTAATCTTGGTAATAACAGTAAGCTCTAATTACTTAGAGCCTCATGGTGCAGTGGTTAAACTGCTGTACTGCAGCCAAAACTGTGCTCACGACCTGGGGTTCAATCCCAGGTAGCCAGCTCAAGGTTGACTCAGCCTTCCATCCTTCCGAGGTCGGTACGATGAGTACCCAGCTCGCTGGGGGGGGGGGCGAGGGGTAGCCTGCATAATTAACTTGTAAACTGCCCAGAGAGTGCTTGAAGGGCTATGGGGCGGTATATAAGCAGCATGCTTTGCTTTTTTTGCTTTGTTTTTGTATTAGATCCTGGTAGTTACCCTCAACCTCCTCTTCCCACCTCCAGAAGAAAGAAACAGTAAACCACTTCTGAGTATTCCCTACTTGGAAAACCCTGAAATAGGTCATCATAAATCAGAATTGACTTGAGGGCACTTTTATATATAGTCACCTTACAAAAAGAGTACTGTAGCCCTGTCATCCTCTACATAATGAGTAACAGCGTCTGAAGAGAGAATGCTCTGCTATGCATGCATGCTTTTCACATGAGTTGGAACCTTCTAAAAATCCTGACTGATGGGCAGAGTGCACCTTCAGGTTTCTCATCTTCCATGTATTGGAGGGTACTTGAAATTAAGAGAGGAATCTGTCTTCACACATGCATCTGCATGTATAATACCTGAATAGGGCTTCCCTCTTGCTATTCCAATGAAGTACTGCATGTCTTAACACAAGGACCATCCGGGAGTTGTTGAACACCGTTCTCAAAATCCCTTACTGGTGGGGCTGATGCGAATTATGGGCAAGTTGCTGAACAGCACTTGCAGTCAGGACGTTTTCCTATCATTTTGTCAAAACTCTTCTTTCTTGTATTTTGAATCCATTGATTTTGGCCCTGCGCTATGGAACTTCAGAAGATAAGCTTGCTCCATCTTTCACCTAGCCGCGCATGAAATATTGGATGATGACTCAGAGCACCTCTAGTCTACTAGAGAAATAGAAATCCAATAAATAAAAATAAAATAAATACTGTCCTTCAGGGTAAAATAGGAAATGATAGGAAAGTCCCACCCCACCCCTTATGGAACATAATGCCATGAACTATTGTTCTGCAAATAGGATTATATTAAGCTGCCTTTGAGTAGGTGGGTCTGTCAGTATTGTCTGTTCCAGTAGCTGCTGCTTTTCTTGTGTTTCTCTTTTTATTTTTTCGTATTATCCACCTCACAATTTTTAATGCTGTTTTTGGAACTAAATGTTGACTTCCAATAATTCTCTAATTTTTTCAAATACGTTAAATAAAACGTACTTTTGTATAACTTCACAATTCCAGCACAAATAAAAATACGTACCAACTTCTTTGTTACATCGCCAACATCTCTTAGCATATTTAGAATCTATACTGTTTAATTTACCAGTGTTAAATACCACCTCCACAATATTTTATAACCCGTTTTCTTTTATCATAACTGACATATTTTTAAAGCCTTCTATTCCAATTACACACATACACACACACACACACACACACACACACACACAAATCCTCTATCTAAGGACAAGGCATCTAATATAAGTCATGGTATCTGATGTGTTTTGGAGAAGAGGGTCAAAGCATTCAACTTCAATTGAGATACTGCCGTTGGAGAGACTGCTAGAATGTGGCACCCTTCTCCAACATGGACGTTCAAATTTCTAAGGGCACCTTTCAAAAATCTATTTCGATTGTGTGAGATCCTTTTGTTTTCCAAGTCTTCACAGGTCTTCTTCGACTTAATATATGCCTCAGATGTACAGGTCTGGTCTTCTTCGACTTAATATATGCCTCAGAAGTACATATATACCCCAAAGTAAATCTTACTCATTGCAAAGGTTGCCTGTGAGTGCACGTATATTTACTCAGAAATAAGTTCCCTGGGAATAATCCAGTTTACCCCCCAAGTATGTGGACATAGAATTTATAATGCTCGTGAAGAGAAAGAGATATATTCTATGAACCTCCGTCTTCTTCGACTTAATATATGCCTCAGAAGTACATATATACCCCAAAGTAAATCTTACTCATTGCAAAGGTTGCCTGTGAGTGCACGTATATTTACTCAGAAATAAGTTCCCTGGGAATAATCCAGTTTACCCCCCAAGTATGTGGACATAGAATTTATAATGCTCGTGAAGAGAAAGAGATATATTCTATGAACCTCCCCAATTAATGTGGGGAAGAAGATTAACTGTCTAAAACTCAGGCAGAGTCACTTGCTTCTAGAGGAGCTTCATGCAACAGAAGATGCCTCAGGTTCAGTTGGGGAAATCCTGTCTATTCCAGAGAGTCTCCCAAACCCACAGGTAGCATTTTGAGAGAATTTGGAAGCCTCTTACAGAGAGGAAGGAATGGGGAAGCCTTCCAGATCCCAGCTGAATTTGCTTACATCTATATCGAACCATATGGGTATTAGTTTGCTGACTTCAAAGTGGGATCAACCAACTCTTGGTGGTTCAGGTGTCTATGAATGCAAACCTTGATTTCTCTCAGTTTGAGAGAGAGCCATAGTTGTGTTCTTTCGTTTTCATTGGGGCCTAAGGCACTGAATTTGCTGCCGACTTACTAGACACACAGAGAAGCTTCCTGTATTCATGTTTTGATGGGCAAAAGCCTGACCTGTGCTAAGATTTCCATTCACAAGACTTCTTTCTAGTGCTATACTGAGAATACATCTTTCCATGACTGTTGTTTGCAGTGGTACTAAAAGCCTGATCCAGAAGCACACTCTGGGGGCGGCGGGGGGAGGCAGTCCTGTGCCTTCTTACCCAGCAGTAGGTTCCATTCGGCTCAGTTGGACTCTGAGGTGAGTCCAGAGTCCAGGTTGCAAATGTCTAGCTACAAAGCAAGTTCTTCTAGCATATGGATCAATGTGAATTTACCTAAAATATAGGGCCCCAGGAACAAGACAATTGGGCCACCTGCCCACAACATCAGCTATAATGAAAGTACAAGCATGCAAAGCACAGCCACTGGTATTAGTTTATTGTCCAAACTCTTATTAATAATTGGTAGATTTTTCTTTCCTTTCCAAACTTACTCATGATCTACTAAGAGTCATAAAGAGTAGTGTTATGTGGGGATTTAGCTTGTCCAGTGGAAGGCTAAAACTGAGGGGAGAACAGGAGCACCCCTGCAACGCTTCCAGTGGCTCCATGGCGCCTCCCCCACACCTTCGTCATCTTTAAAATATTTAAAATTAAGTGTGCTTTCCTCCTTTATCAGTTATGTTCTATTCTGCTCTCTTTTGTTCTTCTCGTTGTTGTTGCCTGCGTATTTCATTTTAATTGAAAATTAGCGCTGGTGCTCCTTGCATGATTTAGAGTGGTTGAAATGACTAGATAGGTGGGGTATAAATACAATAAATAAATAAATAAAGATTTAGGAGCCCTCAAATCTCTCGAGCCTCCCGCTGCTTCTTCCTTCTCATCTACTGAGGCATACCTGTTCTTAGCTCGTCCTCCCATGGACCCATCCAGTGACCCAGTCTTCCTCTCCACTCAGCTGTCATGATTCTTTTTTCCTCCTCCAGAATTCCCAACAATTACCCTTTCTCTTTCTCTCTTCTCTTTCTTTTCTCTCCCCCCCCCTCATTTTTCCCCCTTGCAGGTCTATCCC